TTGACTGAATTTGTTAGACAGTTTAAAAATAAAACTGATAACTACAGCGGAGTTGCTTTGATTGTTCGACCTATTATTTACGTTATGACAGAATTTCAATTAAGCATTTGTAGTAATTTCTCAAGGTAATAAATTCTGCAAATGGTCAAGTTCTGCTTGGTAGACAATAACCTCAAGAGAGATAAGTTTCATATTCTTTACGATACTTTTTATAAATTACTTTAGGAGCTCAAGACTCCAAATGTAAGTACCTGTTAGAATGCTGATATTTTCGATCAACTGCAAGGCTTTTCGCTTTAAACCCGTTATTTTTAACGAGAGCGGTCAACGAGCCGATTTGGTCTTTAACTCCTTTTTCCACAGTACTGTTTATCCTTTTGAACTTATCAAAAGTCATCTTAAAATTTTGAAACATATGTGCATGATCGAAGAAAGCTAATTTTAAACACGGCAAAGATGTGAGCAGAAGCCGTAGACAGACAAACGGTTGCATGACACTCAAAATCAAGCATTTTAGTAGCATAGACATCTTATGATGATTCATAATAGATCAACGAGCTTCACGCAGTTCGTAGATCCCATGAGAATCCCAAATTTCTTATGGTAAATAGAGCACTGAAACTTAATCTCCGTGTTTTCAAGAACCACTCGAAATACCAAAGGTTGACTTTACACTACAAGTTTGTTGAAAATGCTTAGCCCGTTCTTCAATTCGTCCTTAGTACTGTTTATCACATGAAGCAGAATACAATGAATTAGGCATCTCCCAATGCCGTTTTTAAATAGAACAGTTACGTCAAATGTCATTCAGGTGATGCAACTTTCCTGAGCTTCGCTATAAAGCTCGGTGCTCCGTCATTTCGTATTTCTATTCAAATTCGATACTGGCAGGTTTCAACGGGAGATCCAAGTTTTTGCTAAGTTCTGAGTTACAATTCCGCAGAATGACGCCATTATAGGAGACAGATTATGTGACCCGTCCATATTGCTCAGGATTGCAACACAAATTCAGAGTACACAAAATGGCTTACTAATTTCGTCAAAAATTTCTATTCTGAAGCAATTCCACTGAAGAAACGCTATGATTGGTGTCTGGTATTCTTTCGCTTTGCATAGAAAATTTGTACATTGTCAAACTATAACTATTAACCCGTTCTAGGTCATAAACTTCAACTCAGTTCTGTACAGAAGATGGACAGAAGAAAAATGCCGCCGCAGCTAATGATTATTTAAATCCTCTGATGATAAAGTCGGACAAACCGATTACGTGGACATTACAGGATTAATTCTTAAACAAAACAGTAACAAAACGCTTTATAACTTACCTTATGAACGGCTCATGGCTAAAATAAAGGAAGAACTTAATTATGTCTGTCGACACCATGAAAATATGGCGATAAACTGATATCTTATTCCTGTCAAATGGATGATAGACACCTTTGAAATTCGACGTAGTAACGCTAGCCTGTTTCTGTGAACAGAGGATGACATTTATCATTTAAATAAGCAGTGATTGGTCAATGTCAGTGATAACAATTTGGCTCAAAGATTCTGAATCCTGGGGAGGCAGAAAGAAAACGAAGAATACGAGTATATCTAATGCGTTGTCGCGGTTGATATGATCCGACCATCAAAACACTGGCTTCATTATAGACTTGCAATTTCATTCTGATTTTCGCCCGTTGTAGAGTCGACAAATTTGCTCACGTCTGTCAAAGAAATTTTCGTTTCTGTTACCTGACATCGTAACACGTGATCTCTGGCGTGAGGAGACAGTGAATCGGTGTGCTTCCCGGAGTTGTTGTGTCTGACCAGGGAGCGGTCGATACCGTTTGGCAGACCGACGTTGCCGAAAATGCCGATGTCAGGGACAAGAAGTCCACTAAACGGCGCGTAGCTTGAGAAAAGGCAATAGACGATCGATGAAGAGCAAGGTAACTCACTGCGGATTAAGGCCTAACGCAGTCTGACCAGACCAGTTGGTCAGCAAACCAGCAGATGCGAAATTTCCGAGCATATTCACGTCCGAAACGGGAAGTTGAAGCTCTAAAGCGAAACGAATATCGGTTAGACACTGAAACACATTCGGTCTATAGAGCCATTGACTAACCTCCGGGTAGGTTGGACGAAAAATTGTTATAAGTGGGCAGTCCTTGGGAAGAGAGCGAAATGGCCGTGCTTAAAGACGGCCGCCCATTGTCAGTATTCTACAACAAATGTGCATTTAATACGTAATAACTAACGTCTATTCGTCTCACTATGCTGTCAGTGGCCAAGCCACTGGTGCTTGCTTCGGCCATCCGGAAGTTGTCGTTGCCAACCAGTTTGGTTTTGTTGTTGCCCTGTATCTGAGAATGAAGAGCGACCCTGTCCGACCCCTGAACCGTCCGGCTGATTAAATCATCGCATTGGCTTGCTCCAGTTAAAGCAAACACGGAAAACGCTGGAATATAAATAAGAACGTAGAACAAAACAAAAGCAATAAAACAAACAAAAACAAACCATTTTCTTCTTCTTTAATAGAACGACTAGACTGAAGCGATGCAAACCCGTTTGGCATGGCTCCGCTGTTCAACGGAGTATATCCGGAGGCACTTGTTGAAGGTAGGAAAGACCCTAGCTGATTTGTGAGCAATGACTAAAATGTAAAAAAATTAATTCATCAACAGTGATGAATAAACGAAAATAATAAATTTTTAAATAAACAAATAAAAGTATAATTTAAAATGTCAAGCAAATCGTGTATAGATGCTCACGATACGAAGAGGAGACAACGATCAAAAGAAAACTGAATGGCCTACTATACCAAAGTACATTTTTCTTA